ACAGGCAGCAGTTTGAATCGTTAAAAATGAAATTTGAAATTACGTTTAAGTTTTTAAGTCGACGAATTTCAGCTATGCAAGATGGCTATCAGACTTATGCATGTGCGGCTAGGTGCTTGCTGTCTGTAGGATTATTTTTGTACTTATGCGTTGATTTTCTTTACATATCAATTCTTAAATAGATAAGAGTAAGATTATCAATAGGTTTGTCGTGGCAAAAACGCGAAAAACGTCATTTTTTGTAAGTCGCATATATACAGGGTGGCCCATCCATGTGTGGACGGAATATTACTTATAAACAAATGCATTTTGGGAAAACCTATTTATGGGATGTTATACATGACATTTGAAGGTACAAAATTTCAAATGCATCACCCTGTATATTTACCCTAGAGTAACAATCGTTGCATTGGTCGTGATGGGCCTATATCTTGGCCTCTTAGATCACCGGATATGACACCGATGGACTTCGTTCTATGGGCTACGTTAAGCAAGAGGTTTATAGATATCCACCATCTACCCCGGAAAATATGAAGGAAAGGAATAAGGATGCTTTTCTGAACATAAGGGAACACATGCTGTGGGATGCGCAACGGTCATTTATTCAAAAACTAGGTCTGTGTATTCAACATGATGGATATATTTTCGAGCAGTTTTTATAGATTAGATCTTGAGTAGTGATAGTTGTTTGTTTATGTTGTTGTTATAGTTGATTTTCTCTATTACGCTTGAAGCTGATTTATACCGTTCTGATTGTTATTAGTTTTTACATCAAATTTGTACTCTTAGTGGCAATATGGAACAAGCCCACAGTTTTTCTTTTGTTTCCATGAATGCTGTGATTTGTTTTCTTAATTTTGGTGTATTATTAAAAGCCTAATAACTCAAACTCAAACCTGACACCCAAACAGGGTGACGCATTTAAATTTTTTGAGAAAAAGTATAATTCGCGTTTTTGACCACCCTGTATGAGCAAAAATGAAAATTCGAAAAAGTAACATATAAGATAAAAGCCGAGGTGTGTAAGTTTTTTTGCTACAAAATTCTGCAATTTCAAAATGGCGGATTGAGGGGTTGCCTAAGTGGACGGTTTTTCTGGAAAAAACATCTTACATATCAGTAGCTAATTACCAAAACCTCATAGCATGTTATATCAATCTTCTTCTTTTAAATTGGTTCATCCAAATATGCAATAAAATTTGAGGCATTCCATTTAAAAAATCACAACATTGATATGTAGGTAAAAATTGGGACACCCTGTATAGTTGCCAATAGTTTAGAAATGTGCCCTCAAATGTCATGTATCATATGCCATGAAGATATTTCCCAAAAAGGTATTAACTTATGAGTAATATTTCGTCCACACATGGATGGGCCAGCCTACTTTGAAGTTGAGTCATTAATTTTCAGATAATGATTGTAGAAGGAAGATAAACCAAAATATGTGTGTAAAAATAAAAAAAAATTAAAAAAAAATGTTACCTTGTTTTATAAAGTATCCTCCCGACAAGTATTTCAGTGCGGACCTGTATTTGATCGTGAGGTCTTCGAGCACCGGCATGCCGTCCATATGTGAGGTCTTAAGTCAAATGATTCACGAACCCATTGAACTACATTAAAAAAGGCACGAGGGGTTGGTTGCACTCGATTGGGAAACCGATCCGCATAAACATGTGCCATTTTTTATTTCGTTTGAGCCACGCAACAGACACCACTATCCACTACCGACTGACACTGACTGTATACAACTGAATGAAATAATTGTAAAAACATCGTTCCAAATTCTTTCGCTTTTTTGTTTCCGATGCGATGAACCGATAAGGCGAATTATATCCGTTGTCGCCAAACACGAGCACATAATATTATTATTGAGACAGGGCGGTACTCAAACTTCCAAAGGGCTATAACTTTGTTACTTTAATTTTACCAGAAAAATGGTAAAGGAAAAAAACATTTATTTTGATCAGATCTACTCACTGTTAAAATAAATGACTCAACTTCGAAGTCATCCTGTATGTATTACCGAAGTCTAATACTCAAACACCACATAGTAAACATTGAAACTGCTGGTACAACTTTTGAGTTAATAAAGAAAAAAGTCGCTTGGGTCCAAGTAACCAGACAAACAGTGCAAAATCGCTTCCGCAAAGCAGGATTGAAGCATGAAAATATGCAAAGGGAAGACCAGCTAACTGATATACCTGACCCAGAAGATGACTTACCACTTAATGTACTTTCAGATATACTCAAAAATAAGAATTTATTGAAATTGACATAATAAAAACCTTCATGATTTTTTGAACCTAGATGAATGTTTGTATGTTGAAGTTCCAAATTCAGGCCAAGAAATTGAAAATCCAGTCAAAATACAAGAACTTTCCGAAGATTTTGTCGATGAGGTTCCAGTACCAACAGAAGCTATTCCAAATTATGCCAAAGCTATTACTCTGATCAAGCAGCTCAAAAGTTTCTCAACAGTTTTGACGAAAATCACATAATTAAGTCTTATGAATGCACCAAAGACCTATATCAATACTAAGTGTTATATTCGATCACCCTGCTCCCTCTTACATATAATTTATATCAGCATCGTCGCTGTTCTCCCCATTCTCCGCTTTTCCCAATTATTGGCACCAACGTCAATGTCAATTGGTGTTCCCAATGATAAAATTAACGATTCTTCTTAAACTTTTGGGATTAGGACTATCGTTGAGGATGCTATAGAAAGAAGGACAACGTGAATAGTTAAACAGGGTCAATTCAGACTTCCTGTAGATAATTTATTCATCAAAATGAAGTAGCGTTTCTTGGCGAAACTCGGTGATTACTGAAACTGTCGGCAAATGTAACTTTGCTATATCGAATGCAGTCGCTTAGGCAGAATCCAACCAGAGTACCGTGGTTGCCATAAGGGGCTTAAAGCCACCTTGGCTGAACTATGCTTTAGCGCATATCTCAAATATTTCATTTCTTATTTTAAAATCAAAGATTAGGATGTAACTTGCACGAAAATATCATTTTTTCGTTAAGGAACCTTCTGCTTGCTATTTTATAGAACTTCAAAATTGAATTTTGGGTGCTAATACTGTGGTACAGAATACTGCTTTATAAGCTGTTTTCTTTTTGTTTATACAAACGATTGTTCAAAATTATATGAATATAACATACACTGTAAGTTACTGTGATAATGTTCATCGCAATTATGCAATTTTGCATTATTTTAATGATGAAAATAGTTCATTGTTAAGTAGTCATTTCTTTTATTTCAGGTAATTATTCCCATCACTACACCATCACTGTCATATTCTCTCCGTGTAGTTGCGATGTTGCCAAATCATGGATAGTAATATACCTTAATTTGGTTTGTCAAATTCTTACTTATATACTAGCGCAAAAACATGCAATCGGCACAGGATTGTCATGAAAATGCGATTTGGAGGTGTGGCCGGCAGGTTTTACTGTACTAAATCCACCTTGTGCCCTACGATATCGTTAGCTAAAGAGACTTTTTTTAAGAATGCCTTATGCCCTTCATAAAAGTAGTTCGGTTGTTGTTTTTGCTAAATTATAGTTATAATCTATTTACTTTTATGTATGTACTTGAAGAGTAAAGCTGATGTTACAAAATGTACCACTAAATAATGAAAACATAACAAAGAACAAGTTTTTTGATGATTTGATGAAATGATCGTTCATCTTTTTTTAACTATAATATTGGGCGATGATATGTTGGGTGGACCTGGCGAGGTGGTCCAAATCGACGAATCGACGTATTTTTATATGCAATGACCTCATTTCTAATTACGTATTTCTCCCAAAAAATGTACAACTTGGCAACAATGGACATCATTTATCTCAACTGTCAATAAACGAGCGTTATAAAATGGCCATTGAGAATTGTTTGTACTTTCAAATATTTATTATCAACGCAAAAATTTGATCTCATTGAAAATACGCGAAAAAAATGGTTAAGGAATTTCAAGAACACATTGAAAAATCCCAAAACAAGACCTCTATACAATTTAGGAAGTAAATATCATCATTTACGTATGTATTTTGATCTGTTGTGTAAGCTAATAAGCTAATGTGTAATGACATGTCTGGTTTTGAACCTTTTTTGCAAAAAACAAACGATTTTTTACAGTTTCACATCTATTTTCCTTAGTACTATACAGTATACGTTATATTCTTATAATTTAGAGCATCCTTTTTTTACAAAAAAGCAAAAAAGGACAGCATATAAAACAGTATTCTATTCTAGAGTATTACCACCAAAAATGCAACTTCGAGGTTCCATAAAATAGCAAGCAGAGGGTTCCTTAAAGAAAAAATGATATTTTCGTAAAAGTTACATCCTGATCTTTCATTTTAAAGTATGAAATGAAGAATCTGCGATATGCGCTAAAGTATAGTCTTATTGAAACTTTCCAATTTTTTAACTATGTTTAGTAGAATTCGGATCGGCCTCCTCAGGTATGTTGTTTTACAGTCTCGATATCATAACGAGAAATGAGCACTGGCACGAGCCTTAATGACTGGATGAGTCACTCTACATTTGCATGACGTAGGCTTGGCCCTCGTGGTACCGGAAACCATACTGCCTGTCGCTAGTCGAGACAAGATTATGAGGCTAACCACAGCTTGTTCATTAACGAAGCACAGGTTCCTGTTCTGTTACCTTTACCATTTGTCTGGATGTCTTCTTACTCAATAGTTTCCACGTTACTAAAAGATGGCGTACGTGTATAAATATAATTTTAGTTTACTGAATGGTTCGATTTTGTTTGAACAGCTTCCTTTACTTCTGCTTTTCAATATGGTATGTCATATGAGGGATGTCTTTTAAGTTTTGCATATAGAAACATAGTAGGCCGCGCGGATCGAACGTCCGTACTGAATCTTAACCTCACCTTTAGTAAACTTAAATTCAAAGTTTCACAACAATACGTGCAGTGCTCTCACTACAGTGAATTTTTAAGTGTCACCAAGTCATTAGAAAAATGGAACTCAACCGAGAACATTTTCACGCCATAATTTATTACAACTTTCAGAGACAATTATCGCAACAAGAATGCCTTGCTGAGTTACTGTCTGTTTTCGATAACAAAGCGCCACATCAGTCGACAATTTCCCGTTGGTATGGAAAATTCGAACGTGGACGGGTGAGTCTTAGCGACGATCCCAGGGTGGGTGCACCAAAAACGGCAGTCACCCAGGAAAACGTCGTTGCTGTGCGCAAACTCATCATTGAAGATAGACATGTGACATATCGCGAGATTGAGGCGTCTTTGTAGATCTCAAAGACCTCAATGCAAAAAATTGTACATAAAGAATTAGGAGTAAGAAAATTAGTTTCTCGTTGGATACCACCACCTGTTGACTTAAGAGCAGAAAGCAGCCAGGGTTAATTGGTGTCAAAAAACGCTTGACCGTTTCAATTCCGGAAACTCAAAAAATGTGTACAGCTTTGTTAGTGGTGACGAATCGTGGATTTACTGTTATGAACCAGAAAATAAACGGCATTCGGCTGTTTGGATGTTCCAAGGTGAAGAAAAGCCAACAAAAGTCATCCGTTCTCGAAGTGTTTCGAAAAATATAGTCGCGACATTTATGTCAAAAGCGGGTCATATTGCAACAATTGCTCTTAATGAGCAAAGAATTGTTACTGCGGATTGGTATATCACAATTTGTTTGCCAAAAGTCATCACCAAGCTTCGAAAAATCAATCCCGAAAGAAGAATCATCCTCCACCAAGACAATGCAAGCTCGCACACAGCCTAAAAAACAAGGTAATATTTAACGGAAGAAAACGTGGAATTATTGGACCATCCTCCATATAGTCCCGATCTAAGTCCTAACGATTTCTTTGCTTGTCCGAACATTGAAAACAGACTGCGTGGTCAAAGGTTCCTGTCACCAGAAGAAGCAGTTGACGCATTCAAAAGTGACGTTTTGGATCCGTCAGCAAACGAGTGGAATAAGTGCTTCGAAAATTGGTTCGAGCGCATGCAGGTGTGTATTAATCTTCGTGGTGAATGCTTCGAAAAACAATAAAGTCATTTAAAACTACCTACCATGTTGTTTTATTTCCACATGCAAAACTTAAAATACATTCCTCGTCGTTGCGCAAAATTATCATGGCATTACCAATATGTCCAAAAACCTCCATTTTGCCTCGATTTTCGGCCATAACATTTCTGCTGTTAATCAGATCTTTTTACGTGTCGTCTCATTTTGTAGGTCTCATAAATATCTAAAAATCTTATATGAAATGTTTTTTCGTTCCTATCAACACTTTCGATTGAATCCCAAAAAGCACGTTTTCTCATTCTTCTCAAATAAAAAGTTTTCCCAAAAAAACTGGTGTACCCATGTCATGCGTCAATGTTTTAAATACCCCGTTGAACAACTTGCATCAATAAAACCAGAGTTTACAATTATTAGCTTGAGGAAAATTGCTGATATGATTAGACTTTATGAGATCATGCTGGTTTTGCGTGGTACCATTCCAAGTAGCACACGTATATTATCCCAATATGGAAACAATGTTACGGATAGGCTGTTCCAAGCTAATTTTACAATATTGCGGCATTTTGGATCTGCCAGCAAACGAGTGGAATAAGTGGAGAATACTTCGAAAAACAATAAAGTCGTTTAAAACTACCTACCGTGTTGTTTTATTTCCATATGCAAAACTTAAAAGACATCCCTTGTACGAAGCGACACGAAAATATGTTTTTCTTAATCTCCCAAAATATCATAACAATCGGGAATTAGAAATTACAAGAGAACACAGATTTGATTCTTCGTAACACTTGGTACTGACCCAATTTTACATTTATGCAATAACATTCGTTATCTACTATGCATGTTCTCGTACTTTCTTTGTAGTCAGCTCACAGTAACGTACCACTTTTTTGAATGTTCACTGAAAAGATATGGCCGCATGGTTCCACAGTCTGGCTGTCAGGTATTACATTAAGATGGTGCGACTGATGAAATTCAAAATATGCAGGATGTTAAGTCCATGAACCAACAGCATTTTCTGGGAGATTGGAGACGCTATTTGGTGATTTTTCATGGAAACCACAATGCTCTAAGGGCTGTCGTTACCAAGATATGATCATTTTTCGTTTTTTCGCTGAATTACCTACAATTGCGCATAAATATCGTTATAACTCTTTTCTTTCTAGAGATAATATAACAGAATAAACGTTAGTCTGTTCTAGAATGTATACCGATCAAATCAGATAAACAATTTGTGCAAATATTCTTAAACAAAAGACTTCTGACCTTCCAAAGTCGTGGAGTGTATAAATAATTTCAAATTCTAAATTCGATTATAAAAAAACTACACATTTTTTGAAACCTAGCCTTACTTAAAAAACTTCTGTAATTCATAGCCTTCCCAGCGATATGCTACATATCATAGAAATATTCTCTTATGCGGTCAGAAGGAGAGATCAGTTGATTAGGTTCAGGAACAAAGAATTTCTTGTTTCGGTATTTCATATTCTTATTTCTCATATCTCGGTAACCGTAGTCCTTAGGGCATTGTGGTTTGCATAAAAAATCTTCAAATAGTGTCCCCAATCGCCCATAAAGCCTCATGTACCTGTGCCTCTGTCACCAAGGTGAATCAGTTGACTGTTGTTGATCGGGGATCAAAGCTCAAACCGTGTGCCACGTTTCCATTCTTTGTCCTGTAAATGGAATTATAACAAGACTGTTAGGCAATAATTGCTATTATTACTATTCTGCAAGAAGTAATCGATGCTTGGACAGCTTTGGTTTAAAACATAGAAGCACCAACCTGTTTGATAACAACAATAAAACTGGCATAGAACATGTCTACAGCTCTGTTTGGGCTAGACACTTGAGCAAATTTGTATTGCCATTCCTTTATAGCAATCTGTCATATACATGATTTGATTTTAACTCAACTCTGAGTCAGTAATGAGCCTAATAGTCTCCTTTCAACTTCCGAATGGCAATATCGGCAAAATGGAATTTAATGCAGTTGCTGTCTGAAGGGCCAATGGTATAACATCATCGCGCCCCGTCTTATTGACGCTAAAGTCATTTGATACTGCCAACAGCACAGGCAGAGGAAGCAAGCCTCGCTACATGCACCGAACCATAATTCCTTGCTAACAGGCTTCAGACAACGGCGGCGGTGTTTGTTAATGAAAAGCAGATGATTACAGTAATGGACAAAAGTATAGACAAAGTAGACAAATTAATATTGTGCTGTACTTCTTTTTAATTTGTTTTATTAATACACCAATACTCAGTTATACATAAATACATTCATTCGACTCCCTTTAATAAAAAATTAATTGAAAAAAACTGGAACTATGAAGGACAGAAGTATATAGACAAAGTAAAACAATTATAGAAAAAAGACGCAAAGTTCATTGAATTATAGAAAACCAACCATGTTTGTATTAATATTTTAGATTGTAGAAGTTTCTTGATATAAAATTCATCAATCTGTCTCCACATTTGCTCTAAAGCGGCAAAAAGTCCATCCTTGTTTGAATAATGTTTATCTCGTATTTGCTTATCTAAGTATTCCCATAGATTTTCAATGGGGTTTATATCGGGAGACTATGAAGGCCATTTGAGAAATGGTATTTTTTCATCCAGAAAGAATTTCTTTGAGAGATTTAAAGTGTGCTTCGGGTCATTATCTTGCTGGAAGATTGATCTTAAGGGCATATTGTCTTCCATATAGGGTAACATGACATGCTTTAGTATGTCTGTGTATAGAAACTTATCCATAATGCCATCTATTCTATGTAAAGGTTCTATCCCAAACCCCGAAAAGCACCCCCAAACCATAATAGACCCGCCTCCATGCTTGACAGTGGGCAAAGTGTACTTGGGGTTCAATCTTTGTCCACTAGGACGTCTAGCGTAATGAACACCATCTGATCCAAACATGTTGAACTTGGATTCGTCACTGAAACATACCCTCTTCCAGCCTCAGATGCTCCCATCAAGATACAACCGTGCAAATTGTAATCGGTCCTTACGGTTTTTCCCAGAGATTAGCGGCTTCTTACTCGGGCCACGTGCAAATAACTTCAACATTTAATCTTCTACTTATAGTTTTCCTAGAAGCACTGGCAATTCCTTTTGTCTCGATTTCGGCTTTTATTTGCCTTGGGGTTTTAAACGGATCGTTGGACTAAATTACTTTTATTAATCTGATCTAGCATTTAGTTCTAGGCCGATCACTTCTCTTAGAGGCTTCCAAGATACCTTTTTGTTTATATTTGTTCAATATTGCCCAAACTGCTTTACGCTTCAGCTTCAAATTTTTGGCAATGTCGACTTGACGTTGACCATCTTTCTATAACTCAATGATAATAGTTTTCATATCGAAAGAAATTTCTGGACCACACGGCATGGTCTTAAAATCGCTCAACTTATTCCATAATACTTAATGAACACAAACTAATCCTTTTCTGACATGAAACTGTACTAAACTAACGTTGAAAGGGATTTGTCTACCTATTTTTGTCCGTCATAAAAAATTGCTTATATTCAGACTTGTATTGTGTTCATTGCAGATAATGTAAAAACAAGGGATTTAGTTTTTCTACTAAAAACGCATTTGTTTATGGAGCAATGGAGTATGAATTCGTTTTCGAAAGGTATTTAGGTAAATATTCATATTTGTCTATATACTTTTGTCCACTACTGTATGTATGAGATAGGTGAGAGCACTAGCAAACTAAAGGTAGATTGATTCCAGATTAATTTGACTGTAACTGGAAAAGTATTGGATCAGACTTTCAGTTCTTGTGTCTAAATGTAGTTATAACGGATTATCTGAAAAACCTGTTTTGTTTTCTCAAACTTAACCATGCAAATCGGTTTCAAAAAGTTCGTCTAAATCAACAGTACCGCACAAAAAATTGTTCTGATGTACCACAGGGATCTGTGTTAGGACTCCTGCTATTGTCATTATGCAGGGTGATTCACAAGGCGTGACCAAAAATGAAACATTATACACAAGTTCGCATTTTAAGGGGGGTCTTCTATGTTACGTTTTTTCTCGAAGGCTTCATTAAAAAGATACAAGGTGTTCAGATTTAAAAATAAAAAACATTTTTTTCTTGTTTACTTGTTTTGAAAAATATCATATTACTTAGTGGTTCACTATCCCTATTTAGATATTAAAACAACTAACCGTATTCAAAGTATTATGAATACATGTTGTAAAATTGTGAATGAGCTCAGAAAATACGATCATATATCGAAGGACATTAATGACCTGAAATGGATGAAAATTGGAAAAACGAATAAGTACCAGCTCCTAAGTCTGACTCATAGGGTTCTCCATTCAAAAGCACAACAGCCACATACATAAAAAAGGAGTTAATTATTGTTATTATTATATGTGCTGTATATATGCTGAATGTATGGAGTAACACGCCTATTGTCTCATTTTGCATTCAGACAAGGGCTCAACGCATTGGAACCAACAATGGAGCCAACTTGGTACGATATGGTTTGTTAGAGCGGGAAAAAATAGACAAATCGCACAAGGGTCGACACCAACTGGTAGGATATGATTCAGGGTGCTTTTGGTAAGTACGGCCGTGTGGCGCTAACCAGCTGATGTCATTTGTATTATTTATTATATAAACCCTAGTCAAAAGCAAAAAAGAACTATGCATCAGTCACAAAATCAGATTCAGATATAGGGATGTATAATTTGTTGTAATATTCTTTGAGAAAGTACTGTAAATATTAATTTTAATCCTAACACATAAGACGATGCAAGGTAACATCGTAGTAACTTAGTTTTATGCCGTTTGTTATACAGACTACCATCCAATCCGGTTTAATCTAAGAATAACGTTATTGCACATAAAATAGGTTTCATAACTCTGGTCTTATGCGACCGTTTAGTTCTAAAAGTACCATCAATCAATTGTTAGTTCGTATAGCGTTTTTGTTTTCTCTACAAGTTGTGAATTCCAGCTTGGGTATCCCAAAAAAAATAAAATTCTTTTTTTTTCAAACGGATACCCTCCAAT